CCACCTTGCAATCTTTCTCGAAGTAGTTAAGCCTAATTTCGCGAATATGCGGATGGTTTTTTGAGTATGTCCTTGTAGAGTAAATCAAGTGGATCATTTCTAGAAAAAGCCCGAAGTCAATAGTCAAACACTTCCGGGAGAAAAAAAGCCGCGAAAAAATCCGCAATAATTATGCATCAACCTAATATTTTCCAGGATTACTTTTTACAGAAATAATGACACATTAGCAGTAATCCTTCGAAGTTCATCCAAGTTGAGAAACTGTGAATATGCGATAATAATAGAAAGTGCCGAGTGATTACGTGGCTTATTGGAATGGTAAAATAGGGCTCGTTAGCTTATTTCTTACATATTAATCTGAATAGGCAGCGAAAATGTTCGTTTGCTAAAGGTCGTCAAAGTCGTATGCGAGCCTCTTGTGGCTAATTTCAGTCGTGTAATAGAGGAGATTCCGCAAGTATATGAATAGGAGGGATATTTCTCCGCCATAACACAGAGACTATTGCATCTCAGACAGGTTTTAGATGCAACCACCTGGAAGCCTTCTGTCCTGCGGGTTCTGGGGAAGCGGCTATACAGTAGTGTCGAAACTTTTCAAAATTTTTCTCCCTCCACTTTCTCAGTGCATTATACAAACCCTCAAGGCCGGTGATATTTTAGCTACTGTGATTCCTCTTCAATTTTCTTTCTCGATTTTCGTCCTGCTTTGACTTCGTCACAGCGCTACAGCTTCCTCGCTTGGGCGGCACTTTGGAATCATCAATTTTTCTAGAAATTTCTAAAATGCATTACCGGAAAATATGTGTATAAAAACTTACATATCAAACAGAATAATATTACGATTTCGCATGGCCACAAAACCCATAGCGGAACTGATCCATCGAACACCGATCAGCTCAGTGTTGAGGATTATCACGAACAGAATAAAAATCACACCAATGGCGAGAAAAATAGCCTAAATTTTTTGGAGTAGTTCTTCAGCAATAGTGATTTTAGTGATAATTCTTCGATATTTTGGTGTAATCTGGTCATAACACTGTGGAAAGACAAATTTTGTTTCTTCCTACATGCTTGTAGCGCACGATCATCTACCTTGTTCATATATTACCAGGCGGCCACGCACGCTATCGCGTGCGCTAGGGGCTCTAGCCATGAGGGATGGAGCCACATGAGCTGATTTTCATTATAGACCTTTATCGGATCTGTGAGTTTCCGCTCAAACCCCGCCACTGTGGGCGGGATCTGGTCCTGCCACCCACCATAAGTGTTCCCAATCTGTCGCCTGTACTCCTACCGAGTTTGAGCTTTCTAGGTCATGGGGACAGTAGTTATGATTTTTCAAAACAAGCAATTTCATAAAGCGTTGCATTTTTGGAGAACGCCCCGCCCATCGGGGGAGGGTCTCCCCAGTTTGATCTAACTCAACAATGCGCACCTCTAGCCACCTTTAAACCCCAGTTTTAAAGCCGTCTTGTTACTGAACTTGAAATCATGGTCCTCTGAACAGCTCACTTCGATGCACGCCACGCCCACTGTGGGCGGAGCCCCGCCAAGCTGATGTGTGATTGCGTATCTCCAGGCAGATTTGAGGGAGCTAAGGAATTTCATGACAGACATACAGACAGAACGACAGACAGACAGAACGACAGACGAAGCGCTTTATAGCAGGTAGAATGGTCAGTTGTGCATTTAAAAGAATCGATGCGCAAGGAAGCTTTGAATGGGAACCCATGTCACTACGAGATGGTCATTGTTGGGTCGGTTCCTTGAACCATAATCGTCTAATTCATGTCTATCAAAATTGCAGGTCTTCGAAATGCTTAGAAAAGTTCGCAGTCTCTTTGTTAGGATGTTCTGAGAGTGCACTATCATGGCTACATTTATTTTAACAGCTTCAAAATACTCAAGTTCTCTATATAAATGGGCAGTAAAGGATTGATAAAGGTTGTTTTGACTGTTATGTTATACCATAATGTCATATGTAATGTCCTATTTATTGATTTCTATAAAAAAACTAAATGTACAAATCCGATAGGACAGCTTTTTCAATCAGAAAAATTATGTGAAGGAAGACAGCAGGTTGATTTTTAATGGTTTATAGTGCACGTAGCCGGAGCTGGACTTTGCCATTGAGTGGGGAATAGTTAAGTAGATGAAACCTACCTTTGTAGCTAGCACACACATTCGATTACTATCTAAGAATGGCCATGTTGTGTAGATGAGCCGATGAAGAGCTATAACTACGTCAATGGAAATCACTGTAAAAACTGCCCCATAGGCAAGAGAGCCGAGAAGCTGAAAAACTTTTATTTCAAGGATAAGTTACAACATGTTATCATCTGAACATAATTCCAGCTCTTTTTTTCAGGCTGTTTAAACCAGCGTTCTTATCTCAGAACCTTGTGAATACAAGCTACGGTACCTCTCCTCCGAATTGTAGAATTTACACGATTTTCCTATTTAAACAAAGACTTTTGAATTTTCTTGAAAACCGAATCAAACGATCAACTCACAATCCATAGTACCTGGAATTTGAACCAATCCAAGTCAAGCAATGCTGCTATGGTCCCAATCATGTGAGCTGCGAAGTAGATTAATGCTAGTGTTGAAAGAAAAAGCAGAAGAGTAAATGAGAAGTTCGCCTTACAGCCATACAACTTCCTTGCACCCTTAAATGGTTTTTACTTATTGCGCGATTGGTTTGACGGTCGAAATTCTCCAAGAGAATCAACAATACCAGTCAATTTTGTCCAATTACAATAATTACAAACTTTGTTTAACTCTCTTATGGGTGCTACAGTCTCAACACTTACCATAATGAAAGCTATGTGGAGACTGACTGAAATCAAGTAAACAATACAGTACCACACCGCTGCAAGAACTCTTCTAGATCCAACAAAAATCATAGGAGGCATATACGAGCTATTTGTTGCCATTGATGGTGGTGGTACAGAGGTGGACATTAGAGATATACTCTGAAATACACTCGGTCTATATAGGCGGTTAGTTGGAACGTAGACGAGAGCTCAAGGGATGGTCAAGATTACCGAAGTGCAGAAAGAAGTGGTGAAAAAAATGACAGAAAACGACAAAGAAGACTTCCACTGAAGAGTTGCCAATTGAGCTGCTAACGACTACTTTGAAAGAGGGCACAGAAGCAAAATTATTGAATTCTGTAGTGCTAACAGAGCTACTGAGGCATGAATTAAGGCAGAAGAACATTTATTTGAGGTTCTAAGAATCGATTCAGGGAAAATTATTCAGCTAAGCGAAGAGCTCTTCTTCAGAAACCAGGAAAAAACTTTTCTGAATCGGAAATGAGTAACCGGGTAACCGGAAAAAGGTTCTCGGTTCATCCTACTGTGAAGCACATTCAACAACATGGCAGTTCCTAATTGACAGAGTCAAACAGTTGAAAATTGTGACTGTAGAAGAAGTGAGCACTGCCTATCATTGGACGAAAGCGTTGATTCCAATACGTTCATATAAAACGGGGGAATATGATATTGCACTATAATGACATCAGACCGCCTATTTTTTCTACTCTGCCAATTTCAGTACAGTATTAGCCATCATCTCGCGGCAGCTATGAATTTACCCCATTAGATATCTTTTTTACCCAACAGCTTAGCAACAAGCAGCCCAGAATTGTATTATATGCGCGTTGCCGAGAATGAACTTTATAGGTGAGCATTTATTTACTTATTTAAACTGACCTTTGAATGGACTTGCGAATTAAAGACACAGTTCACGACACCCATTTTATTTCGAAAAGCGGAAGTATAGATTAGGTATAGTTCATTGGTAGTGAACAAAGCGAGAGAACTCGCACATTTCGAGAAAAATATGGCTCTTCAAAAGTAGAGAAAATAGAGGTTGGACGAGATTGCCATGACGGAAATAAAATGGATGAGTATTCGAACGAGACTCCAGCTATTGCAATAGCGCAAAGAACTGAATACATCAAGCCAGAACTGGTATAGATTAGGTATAGTTCATTGGTAGTGAACAAAGCGAGAGAACTCGCACATTTCGAGGAAAATATGGCTCTTCAAAAGTAGAGAAAATAGAGGTTGGACGAGATTGCCATGACGGAAATAAAATGGATGAGTATTCGAACGAGACTCCAGCTATTGCAATTGCGCAAAGAACTGAATACATCAAGCCAGAACTGTACAGAAATGTCTTTCACTGTCGCTATGGATCATGGCAAGTTGTTTGAACTTCCTATATGGGCTCCCTTGTGGTCGCAGCCTCCACAATGTCGGTGAAACTCGTCCGAGGATGCACACTGACCAATCTTTGAGCCTTTATAACTCCCTAACTAGGCCGTTTTCCGGCCTAATAGTGTCAGATGTGGTATACGGGTGGCCTCAAATTCATCCCGTGGTGTATTCTCAGAAACCATTTTTATCGTGAACTTTGCCTTTAATTACAGCGAATAAGAGCGATTGGACTTCTTGAAAAGACCAGTCGCATCGTAAAATATAGGAAATCCGAGAAACGAAGGGATAACCTGCAAGACAAGAGGTTCATATCGGTAACTCAGCCATGTCAGATGATTGAATATCATGGAGAACATTCGAGGTCCTAAAGTCATTGGAGCGGCCTTGACATGTATATAATGACTAACCAGGGAGGGGTAGTCTACTTATCTTGGAACTTTGAATTCAGACCCAGATAAATCGATAGAGTTCTGAATGCTGTTTACGAAAATGGAAATTAAAACTGCAAAATGGTTCTCCTTAAAAAGTTATGGGGGCCCGAATTTTGTTCGACAGTAGTATCAATTGGAAATGCGAACTCGTCGCTTCCACATCAGACGCCCACGTGACCTAGTGGTAGTGGTCTCGCTTCGTGGGC